TATATATGTTACAGTTAAAACCCGATTTTAGTTAAAACCCGTTTTAACTAGTTAAAACTAGTTTTTACTGGATGCCTTTGTTAAAACTAGAATTTACTGCTAGTCAAAAATGAATTTCAGTTAAAACTAGTTTTAACTAGACAAAACGGGTTTTAACTAAATGGCTTAGTAAAAACTATTTGGACCGAAATCAAAGTTCATTCAGCTAACACATGTGTGATACACGGTATCACACAACAGTCTGCAAGGACCGCTCACGCTGTCGTTTCGGATGGCTTTTTATCGAGTGGCAAGGGAAGTGAGCAAGTCAGCAGGCGTCCTTTCAAAGACAGGAGACAGGTTTAACGAATAAACAAAGCATTTATTGAATAACTAAAGTTAAAAATGTCGGTTAAATGCGATTAAATATGAGATAAATATACAAAGGGGCAGCTCTTAGCAGCTAAGCTATTCTCGGAGAGAGAGAGAGAACTGTAGGATGGCGACAAGTATGGAAGTTCGAAGCTGTGGTTTGTCTTCTACTGATATCTTTTCTTTTTGTTCGTTCGAGTCTGTTGTATGGATGTCCGGGAGACGAGATGCGCACATTGACAAGTATAACTTCCGTTGGATCGCCCTGAGCTTCCGGGGGCTCGAGCTTTTATTCGATTGTAGTGGGAAAGGAGTTACATGATCGTCAAATGTTGACAATAACGGTGCAATTTTGACACCTATGTGTCAACTTTCCCATCTAATTGTTATGACAAACGGTGACCTCCGATCTAATTCTCACAGGAGCGTTATTTCTATCGGAGTTGTTTACATATTTTTCCCGACGACTTTGTTAAATTCGCAAATTTCACATCTGTGATAACGCTTACGATGCTAGAATGACTCTGATTGGTAAATCAACGGCGCCTGATTCGGGACGAGTCGACGCGCGCCGTCGCCACGTGCAGACCCGCGCAGTCAGTTTTCCACTAAGCACACATAAATCGATTCGTACGTAATTATTTATCATGGCAGATTCACATGAAGGAATGCGATGGAAAGAGGAATTTTTGAAAAGAATAATACAGATGTCTGAACATGAAAAAAAAGAAGACCACTACAATGTTATGACAAAAGAAATTTACGATAAATTAATGGACGAAATTGAAGAGGCACAATTAGCTGAGAAAAAAACACCGAAACAGTACAGAAGATTAAATCGATTCAAGGTTATTAATATTTGTGGGACGCGAAAGTTAGTGACAAGAAAGGAACCTATGAAGTACTATTTATATGTAGACGAAATTTTCGATATTATTGAAACAGCTCATGTGGCCATTGGTCATGGAGGTCGAGACAGACTAAAAAATGAAACTTCAAGAAAATATGCGAACATAACAATAGAAATGATTAATATTTTTCTGTCTATGTGCGAAGCATGTCAGCGTAAAAAGAATATGAAAAAAAGGGGGCTTGTTTCGAAACCCATACTTCATTCAGAGATGAACAGTCGTTGTCAAGTCGATCTTATCGACATGCAAACACAAGAAGATCGTGGATTTAAGTTTATAATGGTATATCAGGACCATTTGACAAAATTTGTTTTATTACGTGCACTGCAAAGCAAGAGAGCTGTAGAGGTGGCTTATCAATTAACAGATATATTTTTGATATTTGGCGCTCCTTGCATTTTACACTCTGATAATGGCAGAGAATTTGTTAACTCTGTCATAGATGAGCTGGCTTCTTTTTGGCCTGAGTGTAAACTGGTTCACGGAAAACCAAGGCATAGCCAAAGCCAAGGGTCTGTTGAACGGGCCAATCAGGACATCCAAAAAATGTTAGCTTCGTGGATGCATGACAACAATACTACAAATTGGTCAAACGGTCTTCGCTTTGTACAATTTATGAAAAACCGGGCACTTCATTCTGGTATTAAGCAATCACCATATAAAGCCATGTTTGGTACAGAGCCGCGAGTAGGGCTTATGACTTCAAGTTTGCCTCTAGATATTATTAAAAAAATACAAGACGAAGATGATCTGAAAGAGGCTTTAAATAAAATTAATGTGATCGATAAAGAAAAGAAGGCACCCAATGATGCGGAAATACTTGATGATTCAGAGAAGGTAACAGCTGTAGCGAGTGGCAGTAGACAGTCGCTAACTACAATAGTAGCCAGTCAAGAAGACCCAGAAACTGCAGCTAGTACGAGTGCAGAGCCTCAAATAATACCAGCTAGTGACGAAGATTCAGAAGCTGTAGCTAATGCGAATCGACAGACCCAAATAATAGCAGCCAGAGAAAAAGCTCATCTAAACTTGGAAAAACAGGCCCAGAGAATGAAATTGGCTTCGGATTCAATACACGCTCCTGTAGAAATCGGTGATAATATAATTATACCAATTCCTGATGTCGACAGAGCAAAAGCAGATCTTCGTAATATTATCGGAGTGATTCTTCAAAAGGATGAACAGGGTTTGCACAAAATTGGAACGAAATATGGAATACTCGATAAATTGTATTGCAGGTATGTATTGTTCAATTTTGCCACTGTTTAAGTTAATGTTACTAACTATGCAGTTAATTCATTAATATTTTGAGGTCTAATTATTATAAAAAAATTTTTCCTTTTTTCGGCACAATTAACCATAATTATTATTAATTAAAGAATCAATTTAAAATAAGTATTAACCTATTTGAAAACTTAAATGTACTTGTTCAGGTCAGAATTTGACATGTCCAAAGAAAACTTCTTGCCACTAGAAGAAGTGCCAGAGACAAATGTATCTTTAAGAACTGCTGCCAGGAGAGCAGCCTTAGGAACAGGCCAAGGATTTGCTCGCTGTTTGTGTAAGAAGTCGTGTATGTCGAAGAGGTGCTTTTGTAGAAAAAAAGGCAATTTGTGTAACTCGAAATGCCATGATAGTTTGCCTTGCAATAACAAGTAATGTAAACTTAATTTTTATATTTATGTTCCTTTATTAAATGATTATTTTTGTATGACTTTAATTAATATTACTGGTGTTGTTATAGTTTTAATATTGCCTACATGGCTCTGTGATTTTCCTTTAAAATGTTCCTATAGTGTTTGATTATTTTTGTAATACTTTAATTAATATTGCCGACATGGCTCTGTGATTTTCTTCAAAAAATGTTTTTATAGTGTATGATTAATTTCGTATCACTTTAATTAATGTTAATAACACAGATGTATGACCAATATTTTTAATAAATATTGTATTAAATAATAAAAATGTTTTAATCCCAATTATCACTTTATTTCCCTCAAACATATTTATGTAGCTAAAACTAGTTTTAACTAATGTTCAAAGTTAAAACTAGTTTTAACTAAAATCAAAACATGTACGGCAGTAAATTCTAGTTATAACTAGGAAATTCTAGTTTTAACAAAGGCATCCAGTTAAAACTAGTTTTAACTAGTTAAAACGGGTTTTAACTAAAATCGGGTTTTAACTGTAACATATATATATATTTAAATCAGAAAATAGCCAGAAAAACAAAATTAGTTTGTTTTACTCTAATCGTAACTGGGAATTAAATCTATTATTTTCCACCTCAATAAGAGTCTTAATTATAATTTATTTGAATAATCATATGAAGAGTATGACACAATATAATTTAAACGATATTTAGAATTTTCTATACATATAAATTTAAAATTTTAATTAAATCCATACATTAAAACATTGATCAAAAATTATTTTACTGAAAAACTTATTTAAGTTTTTAAACCAATATATCATATATTTAATTATTATACTAAAGAAATGTAAAACTATATTGAAAAAATTGTTTAAAATTTACTATCACTAGAAATGAGATTGCCCACCAGTGACCGAGCGGTTCTTTCGCTAAACACTGGAAGTTCGGTCGAGGGTTCACGCCTCTCCAGGACGGGCTGACTACGTGGAGTTTTCCGGGTTTTCTCCACGTCCGTAACGCCTGAATAGGGCCAGTTACCGTTAAAAACACCCCTGAAAGGAATTTCTTCCCCGCGTAACCAGAGAAAGCAACGAGAACCCACCCACTCTAGTACTAACTTCCTCCAGGACGTCACTCGGCGAGCAAACTAATCTGTACTAACATGCGCCGAGAAGTACTTACCCACCAACCTTTGGTTGAGAAGACAAAGAAAAAGAAACGAGACTAATTAATTTTCGAACCATATAAATTTATCCAATAGCGTATAAAGTCTTACAGTAAAAATGTCTAAAAAATTTTACAATACATTTCAATCTACAACTGATAACAAAGACAGCTAACAATTATTTACTGAACAATGTATGTTATTAGCATATATTCTCTTAGTTATAATTTCTTAAACTAGAAAATTTATGTAGTCTACGTGAAGTACTCTGTTAATTAAATATTTTGTGTGTAATGGAGATAGCTATTTGTTAGATAGATATTTGTGTTTTCTTTTTTTGAAACTGAATATTGTATAAATCAGTTTTATTATAAAATATATGTTCAGTAAAATGCCAATAAAGTAATGCGTTTTCTTCCTGTTTTACAATTGTAATATATTAAATTTTTAAATTTTATCCAAACGACAAAATCAACAACAATACTGCCACTACGTATAGTAATATCATATTTGTTGCTTATACATTTCTAACTTCTCCTGTACTCTACACATCTGTTTCTCGCTTAGTTCTATTAAATAGAATTAACGGTTGTATTTGTTATTCTTGAAGAAGACGTGTTACAATTTAAGTGCTCAGAATCAAAACTGTAAATTTTTTCATTGGCCAAAACTTTCAAAACCATTAAAGCATTAACAAAACATATTGGATTAGACGCATTTAAAACAATATAAAATTTGGAGACATAACATAGTTTGTGATTGAATAGTTTATCATTTTTTATTTTATTACAAAGTCCTTTCTGTTTAGTTTTTAATTGTAAGGGATGATGCATTACGCTATGGTGTAATTGTTTTATCTCTAATCTATCTCAGAATTAGTAAAATCAATATTTAATTTATCCGGAACTCGGGTGTCATGGTTTTAAATCTATGGAATAATCGGTAACTCTCAAACACTTTTTTAACAAGACGTTACATTATTAACATGCCAATAAAGCAAAAAAGTTTATGAAATGGATTTCGAAATAAGTGATTGAATATAGTCATAGATAAAGTGAAAATAAACTTGTCCTATTGCATGCGAATGAATCAAAATTTGAAAAGGACATTAAAAATATTAGATTGTCGATGGAATCAGTTCGGTTAATATTTAAGAATATTGTAAATATGGTCTTCATCGATTTTGGATTAAAATGCTTTATTATTAATTTTTAAAATAAAAGCACACATTCCATACATATTTTTAAGTGATATATTCTTTTATACATTATTTATTGACAAGACTATGTCTTGTTTATAAAATAGTACTGCATGATGTTCTTACCAGCCTAGAAGTATGAAGAGTACAGTACATGTCGAGAGTTGATATTAGGTGCCCAAATCATTTGCGCATAAAAAAATCCAAACTCGTAGGTAGTCAAGTTGACTGAGAATCGAGTCAAAATAAAATACAAAATGGCGACCCTCTTCTACAAACAGGCAAAACAGCCACCTCACCCCACCGAAGTCAGGTAGGGTACCACCCACAGTCATTCTAAGAAGTAAACTCTAACCAAGGACCGAACACGTAATTTCTTCTATGTTAAATAAAATTTGAAATCTAATTTTGTAAATTCGGGAGTGCTTCAAATATGACGTTAAAACGTTTTACGTCGTTACAAGTGGGTTTTTTTAATATTATCTAGTATAGTAAAATCGTAGGACCGATAAAAATTTGACGTTATATTAGGGTTGTCGTTACATTCGATGACATTATAATCGGGTTAAACTGTATATTGTTTGTGCAAAAAAAATAATTTCGTACGATACAATAGCCACGACTATTTTTTTTCAAAAACGAAAACTTTTCGTTACGCATCGAAAAAAATTGAACCCAGGCCGACAACGAAGAGAAATTTTGAAATTAGATAGGTTAATTTCATCGAAGATGCATCGTGGACGATCTCGTGGTCGTGGGCGGCGAAGTTTGAACGATCGCACCCAAAAGCAGCGATATCAAAGAAGATAGGAGAATGAGAACGAAACCTGTCTTGAGCATCAAAGTGATTCCGTCTCCGAGACAGTCTTGTCCCAAATACTTTATATTTGAACAAGAAAAAACGGTATTGCCGTTTTACTTACGATAGCGCACTTCGGCAATCCAGATGAATAATTATTGTACGGGGTTGTTCAGATTAGCGATGCTACATACAAAAAAGGTAGGAAAAGAAATATAGATAAATATATATGTAAACAAATTTCCACAATATATTTAGTACATAAATCATTTATGTTATCATATGTAGTATATATTAATTTTATAATCTTTTTACATTTAAAAATTTATAATTTATGATTGATTTTTGTTTTTAACTGGAGCATTTAGCGAAAAACCGAGCAAAATTACTTCGGATTAAATATAGTTCGGATTATTGCAGGCTCAGATTATCGATAAAGCACTGAATGTTATTTGTAAGTAAAGTATTTGTAGTAAAATTTAGATTAAACTTAGTATAAATTATTATTTCTATAAATTAATTGCTAAGAATTGTTTTTCTTTTTTCCAGGGCTGTGGAGTCAGAGTCGGAGTCGGAGTCGGAGTCGGAGTCGTGGAGTTTTGGTATTTTAGCCGGAGTCAGAGTCGGAGTCGTCAAAAAATCCCCCGACTCCGACTCCTTTTTACTTCCCAACTTCTTATGTATATAAAACGGAAAATTATTGGAATCGTGTCATATTTGACCCTCCAGGTTTTTTTGCAAATCTACACGTTTGGAGACCTCTCGAACCCCTCAAAAAGTCAATAAAAATTCAGAGGAAAAATTCGCGTGCGTGTATGTGTTGGCGTCTAATTTGTTTAACTTCTTTATTTTCTGTCCTGAGATATTAAACAATATCTCAGAATAGGTAAAGTTTAAGAAACGAAATGTGGCACTGTAGCTTGCGTATAAAGGAGCATTAATACTATTAAATTTTGGTTCTTAATTAAAGGTCGACAGGATGAAGACATAAAAGTGGTCATGTGTCATATCTCTTAATGAATATTTTACTCGTTATTAGCGTTCAAAATTAAAAAAAAAATAAAATAAAACGCGTCTCTACTCTCAAAGTAAGCTTTTTTGTCATTTTATAATACAGTAAAACCCGTTAAGATGTTCTCGCCTAAGATGTTAGAACGGGATATGGGGACACGATTTAGTTCAAGCACTTTGACGTTTAATAATTAACTCATGTGTTAAACCATCTGACTCCGATTCCGACCACTCTGACCACAGAAATTATTAGGCTTCAAACAGTGAATAAAATCATGCCCCCCCACTCAGTCTAACATCCACACATATAGAAAAAAACCTCGAATCTTTTGCATATCTCGAAATTTCAAGGTATCCTGAGTCCAAAAATATAACAATTTGGGAGGGATTATTTTTTTGACCGATCGCTACACCTTCCCTCTGTTAGCCTATATATAACAGACGGAAAAGTAAAAGTTATAGAATACATATTTGTATATTACTTAGAGGAGTCTTTTATCTTTGGAATAAAAAGTTTCTATGTTCTATCTTTATTAGAACTCTATTTATTGAATGTTTTATTCTGAGGTCACGTGATGACATCAGAATTTCCGTGTCTCTTTCGATAACAAGTCCGCCTCTGGTCGGAGTCGGAGTCGGAGTTGGAGTCGGTAGATTTTTACGCGACTCCACAGCCCTGCTTTTTTCACACTATCAGCTACTTTTACAGAAAAATTCATTTTTACTCATGGAAAGATTATTAAAATAAAAAAGTAATCTACGTTTATACCTGAGGAAAGAATATTCACATTATGTTAATATTACATTCCAAGATTATACAAAAAAAAGTAAATTATCTTGTTATCAAATAAATGTTCATATGGAATTTTATCAGAATCATAAACATCTTTGAGGTTGTGGTAGATTTTAGAAAAAAAGAATTATTAGTCCTATATGTTTTTATTAGTTTCCA